TGGGTACCAGTCTACTACTGGGAGGCTGAGGCAGTAGAGTTGCTTGGAGCCCAGGAGGTTTGAGGTTGCTGTGAGCTAGGCTGGCACTGAACTCACTCTAGGCCGCAGCAACAAGCCGAGAGCTCTGTCTCAAAAAGAAAAAAAAAAAAAAAAAAACAACTGTGAAAAGATTTAAGAGCATGAACTTTGAAATCAGGTAGATCTGGGGCCTGGGCCGGCACAGGGCCACGCCTGTCAATCCTAGCACTGGGAGGCCAAGGCAGACGGATTGCTCGAGGTCAGGGTTTGAAACGCCTGACAAGATGGACCCCCGTCTCTACTATAATAGGAAATCAATTAGTGGCGAGTGGAAGGGAGTGTGAGAAAAATTAAGCGGGCATTGGGCGCGAGTGCGCGAGTGCCCAAGCTACTCAAGGCTGAGGGTAGCAGGTTGCTTGAGCCGGGAGTTTGAAGTTCTGTGAGCTGGCTATGCCACCGGACTCACTCCTAGCCTGGCAACAAAGGGAGACTCTGTCTCAAAAAAAAAAAAGAAAGAAATCAGGTAGATCTGGGATTGAGTCTTTCTTGCCACTTATTAATTTGTGACCTTGAGCAGTTTCTTTAACTGCTCTGTACCTGTGTTCTCATCTGAAACATGATGATAATACTTACCTTACAGATTTGTTATAAAGATTAAAGTATGTAATATTTTTAAGTACACATAACATAGTACATAGTACATTCAGGCTATTAATTTGGGGGAATTGCTTCTCCAATTTAGAGCAAGTAACTAGAATCATAGGAATTAGAAAGGTAAACCTAGCCAGATCTCTCATTTGTCAGAGTAGGTAGAATGATTTCTGATTCACAGGGTGCCAGAATGGACACTCAGGGTATTTTGGGCCAGGTTGATTGAACACTGGGCTCCAACTTAGTGTTAATGAGAAATAGCCCAGCTTGGAGCATGACTTTCCTTTGTTTGTTTGTTTGTTTGTTTGTTTGTTTGTTTAAATTGAGACAAGATCTCACTATGTTGCCCATGCTGGACTTGAACTCCTGGGCTCAGACAATCCTCCTGCCTCAGCCTTCCAAGTGATTATGACTACAGGCATGTACCACTGCAGCAGCATGGTCTTGGAGGAATTTTAAGAAGCTTACTTGGTTTTTCATCTTCATTGAGAAAAGAGGACAAGTGAAATGTGCTAAATATATGAAAGGAAAAACTTGGGTTAAAGATGAGAAAAGTTTCTAGACTAGGACAGGTTAAAGAGAGATATTATAGACTTCCTGTTTTATTAATAGTTAGCCTTCTTTTACTTAAGGAGCCAGTAGATATAATCTTACCTGGAGATAGGGGTTGGATGAAATGGTTCCTAAGGGGTTTATCCAGGTTTTGTGGAAACAATAGGAACAAACCAAATAGAATAAAGGGCTTTATACAAAATCATGTTTTAAATATTTGAGAAACTAGAACCACTTTGTCTTTTGATTGGGAGTTGTTGGGTAGAAGAAAACTACTAACTATTCCACCCTATGCAGAGACCCCAGAATCCAACAATAGTGTGTATACTTCCTTCATGAAGTCTCATCGCTGCTATGACCTGATTCCCACGAGCTCCAAATTGGTTGTATTCGATACTTCCCTGCAGGTGGGTTTCCCTTTCCCTCATTTTTGGAGCCTCTGTTTCAATACTCCTCATCCTATTTCATCCCCAGGGTAATATCCTTGTTCTTCTATGAATTTTCCCCAAACTGTCCAACCCCTGTTCTTTTTTACAGTCCTGCCCTCTGTGTCTTTCCTTTTATGATTATTACTCTCTTGGCTACAGGTGAAGAAAGCTTTCTTTGCTTTGGTGACTAATGGTGTACGAGCTGCCCCTTTGTGGGATAGTAAGAAGCAAAGTTTTGTGGGTAAGCAAAAGTTTCTGGAACACATTATCATTGGCATCTTGTGCTGGGCAAGAAGAGAAACTTTGGGTAGGCTGAGGGCTCTTGTCTTGGCTTTTAGGCATGCTGACCATCACCGATTTCATCAACATCCTGCATCGCTACTATAAATCAGCCTTGGTAAGGAACTTTAGCCAAATGACCAAAACCACTTTCCCTTCCCAGAGTCCCTCATTTCTGTTCTTCCCAACAAGCCACAAGAGCTTAATGAAGCAGAGAGAGCAGGTCTCAAATTCTGTTGTTTCTGCTTCCAGGTACAGATCTATGAGCTAGAAGAACACAAGATAGAAACTTGGAGAGGTATGTAGAGAATTGGGGATTGTAAAAGAATAAAAGCATGGTGATTCCTGAGAAACACTTTCCCAAGGTGGCATTTTGTGAACCATCACTTTTCCTTTCAGAGGTGTATCTACAGGACTCCTTTAAACCACTTGTCTGCATTTCTCCTAATGCCAGGTGAGTTCCAGCTATCCCTGTGTCTGAAAAAGGGAAGAGCCTTGACATCAGTATAGCTAAAGTCCTATAAAAATCCAGGGAAAGGGGCAGAAGAGAGAAAAGACACTTGTCCCAACACACACACTGTCTCTCTCTCTAAGTCTGGTCTGCACACTGCCCCCTTCCCTAACCACCAGTTTATCCTGTTTATATATACATTTTTTGGTAGTCTTATTGGATATATATAAATTTTACAAAGTATATTTAACCACCCTCAGTCCCAGCACTGTGGAACTTACCATTATATCCCGCCTTCCCACAGCTTGTTTGATGCTGTATCTTCATTAATTCGAAACAAGATCCACAGGCTGCCAGTTATTGACCCAGAATCAGGCAACACTTTATACATCCTCACCCACAAGCGCATCCTGAAGTTCCTCAAATTGTTTGTAAGTGCTCCTTAGCCCAGTTTGTATTCTTATATATTGGGTTGGAGAGGTATCCAGAGGTGGTTTGGGGGCCTTGATAGTCAAGCTGATGGTTTTTTCCTCAGATCACAGAGTTTCCCAAGCCAGAGTTCATGTCTAAGTCTCTGGAAGAGCTACAGATTGGCACCTATGCCAATATTGCTATGGTCCGCACTACCACCCCTGTCTACGTGGCTCTGGGCATCTTTGTACAGCATAGAGTCTCGGCGCTGCCAGTGGTGGATGAGAAAGGTAAGAGATTGGGCCAAAGTCTGGGAGAGGGAGAGATCCAGAGAAGTCAGGGTGGCTCTGAGAGAATCTGCTTTCCCCTCAGCTTGGCCAGGAGGGTGGTTCTGTGGGTAGAGGGAGTCTTGGATGCCAGATTCTCTTTGCTGAGCTACCTCTGTCCCCCTAGGTCGTGTGGTGGACATCTACTCCAAGTTTGATGTTATCGTGAGTGATTGTGGAGGGACTGGGAGGTAGGGAATGGGTAGGGGGTGTTGGAGTGGAGGGAGAGGGGAGTCTCTTCTGGGACCTAAGGGTCTTGGAAGCTTCCAAGCTTTCAAATCCTATTTGAAAAGGACTTGAATGAACTGAGTATGGCTGTGAGCATGGCCAACAATTTGCCCCAAATCCCTCTGGTGAGGTTGGGTGGGTTCAGAGTTTAGGGGCTGGCTCTCTTGCTTCCCTGCAAGCTGCTTCCTCTCTCCCCCCAGAATCTGGCAGCAGAAAAGACCTACAACAACCTAGATGTGTCTGTGACTAAAGCTCTACAACATCGATCACACTACTTTGAGGGTGTTCTTAAGTGCTACCTGCATGAGACTCTAGAGACCATCATCAACAGGCTTGTGGAAGCAGAGGTAAGGAGGCCAGTAGCCATCAAACGGCTGAGAGAGCAGCCTTGAGAGTGGAGTTGGGCATGGAGGGTAGGGGCTGAGGGGCCCACCTTAACTGAGGCTGGCACTAAACGTTCCCTTTCTCCCTTGTTGCTCTACACCAGGTTCACCGACTTGTAGTGGTGGATGAGAATGATGTGGTCAAGGGAATTGTATCACTGTCTGACATCCTGCAGGCCCTGGTGCTCACAGGCGGAGAGAAGAAGCTCTGAGCTGGGGGAAGGAGGCAGGCAGCACCATGCCCCACTCACTGCTGGAAGCTCTGGGAATCAGATGAAACTTGTGAGGACTGTGACTATTCCCTGCTCAGGAGCCCCCTATCCTCCTATCTGGGAGCTAGGAGTGGTGTAGGGGGAGGAAAGAGAATGAATTTTTAGCTGCCCTTACCCTAACACATACACTTGAAGATAACTTTCAGCCTAGCCAATTCTAGCCCTTCGATATAGCGCCCTTTCTGGATGAACTATGGGCTTTGTGCCCCTCAGGCAAATTCTGATCTCTAAGAGATCCCCAGACCTCACCCTGCCTTTCCTTCCATCTCTGCCATGACTCTACCCAAAGATAATAGCACAACAAAACTCTTCATCAAGATATTTTTATTCATCCTCTTTCATGATATACGGAGGGGGCTGAGTCCATTTAGTGACACTTCTTCCCATAATATGAGTGGGGAGGACTGTGGGGAGGAAGGCCTCAGGGTTCTTGTGCTGCATGCCTATGAAGGGAGATGGGGGTTAGGTAGAGGAGGAGGACAGAGTGGAGTGGTCAGCCAAGGTTATTGCTGTTCACGGCAAATCTAATTAAATGACAGGAATCTTGTCATGGTATTACCGTGTTTGATTTTTGCGGTTGATGGACACTACAGCTCCAACCTTCCTGCTTTATATGGCTTCTTCAGCTCATCATTAATAACACAGTAATAATAGCACACATGCATATGACTGTGTACCAGACATCATTCTCAGTGCTTCACATATATTGACTCATTTAATCCTCAGAACAATAGTAGATACTATTCCAGTTTTACAGATTTAATAAAACTGAGGCACAGAGAAGCTAAGTAAGTAGCCCAAGATCACACAGCTAGTAAAAAGTAGAGGTAGGATTTGAACCCAAACAATCTGGCCCCAGGGTTCATGCTCTTTACCACTACAGAAGAGTTACTATCACTTGAATTTTCCTTTCACAATTGTTCCCCACCCTATTTTCCATAGTTCCCCTTATTACCTTTCTTTCCCCTCTGCCTGGACCATATCTGCAACCCAAGGAAAATCCTGTAACAGTGTTAGATTTACAAAGAGTAGACAGACTTGAAGGTCTCCTCTAGGAGACCATCATCAGCTTTTCTTAGGGAAGGTTGGACTGGGTTTTGGATTTTGCTGAGCTGGTACTATCTTTGAACCTACAAATCCCTTTTTTTCCAAGGTGAGAATGAGCTAGGGAGAGAGGGGGAACAGAAGGACAATGGTCACCCCATCAGACCCATTCCCTGGGCTGGAACCACATGAACCAACACAGTAGCTAATACCAAACACCGTAAGGACTGCTAGACTATGGGTACCATCTCACACATGCATCTCACACATACACTTGCAGGTATGCAATTTCTCATCCAAGCCAGGGGCAATTTCAGAGTAATACCTTGCCCCTACCCCCCACTGTGCCTAAGCCTTCTGATCAACCCCCACCCATACCATACTGGTGCCTCCAAACCAGTCTTCCTGATGGAACACAGGGAAAAGCATCAAGGCCCTTGTCAGAGCTCAGGTTTCAGTGCTGCATCAATACTGTAGAGAAGCCCCTGTTTCTGCATTCACCTCTTCACAGCTCTCACAGCACATTCCCAGACTTGGGGGAGAGAGGCTTCCAAGTTATTAGAATTAGAGTATGTTTATGTGTGTGTGGGTGGGTACATGGTAGAAAGTACAGATGTCTCCTTATGTCACATTCTGTCGCGAAGGAGGATTTGCCTAGGGAGGAGGCAAGGGCTTTAAAAAGCCTTAGGACCAGTGGGATCCAGGGCAGAAGGAAGCACCTTCAAGCAAAGAGTCACCAGTGCAGCTGGTAGGTGCCTGGGATCAAGAGGGGTAGAGTGGATGGGACAAGGGATGTTTGGGGGTTCTCTCTAAAGGTCCATGTTAGGGAGCAGGTTGCTTGGGTTTTGTTGGCTCCACTTCTCAGTAAGTCTCTGCCCCATAACAACCCTCTGGCCCCCATCCCCTTAAAAGGAAGGATCTATGCCCAAAAGGCTCCACGTATTATAGTGTAAAACAAATTGGGATCTCTTCCTTCTCCCATTTTCCTCTAAAACTCAAACCAGTAAATCTCAGAGTCTGAGGAGGGAGCTGAGGGAAAGACAAGGGATAAAATTTGGGAGCCTCATAGGTTTTTATTCTTATCTATTCCTCTCAGGAGGGGCAAATTATGCCTTCTTCTTGAAGAACCATTGCCATACACACTCTCTTTCTCTGCTCCCTGCACCCCTCCCCTCCACTGGAGCTGCTGCCATGGTTGCCAGGCATGGTTGCTAAGTCTCTGCATGGAAGGGTTGGCGTGGGCTGTGCTGCCACTAACATTACCATGGTGAATCAGGGGACACCTGGTCTAGGCTTGGGGGAGGAGTCATGTGGATAAGCAACAACCCCCAGGACAGATAAGCCCCAAAGGTGAGCATCTTGAGCACTACTTCAGGTGGGGGCTGTGTGAACTAGGCACGGTGGTTGTGGAGCTCTACACTGAGAAGTAGAGGCCACGTTTATCATTTCAGTTGCTAGGGGATTAGTTTTGCCCAGGGAGCACACCATTTCTCCTCTATCCCTCTGTAAGGGTGCACGTGTGCAAACACTCTATTCTGTCCTCCATAAAGCTGGGCAGAATTGTGTAGGCACAGAACAATGTAACCCCAAAATCCTGGCTTCTGGATTGGGGAGAGATCCTGCTGCTAGGGGAAGGCTCCCTGGGTGTCCAAGGACAAACATCTAGAATGGGAGCTGCGGGGCAGCTTGGGTGGCCAAGGCAGACTCCTGTGTCCTGTTGTACCAGCAGACCTGCGCTGCAGCACTGACAGGGTGAGGAATTAAGGCTGTAGGGGTCACCCTTATTGAGCTTGGGGAAGGCAGCTCTCCCGGAGTCACACAAAAGCTTCAGTGAAAGCCACCGCCTCCTCTCTCCACCACATGGGAGCTGGTTACTCATCTCATCTCTGTACCCAAACTGCCGCTAAAAATAGCCCCCCAGCCGTAGGCCAGCCCCTCCTGCACCCTAACCCCATGGAAACCAGCAGAGTGGCAGGCAGAGACCTTGAGTTCCATTCTCACCACTCCCTGTCAGGGAAACTGAAATCTGAAGCAGGAAGTCAGAGGCAGAACCCTTGTGGTCAGGCAACATGGCAAGCTGGAGAATAAAGGGTTAAAACGACAGGAAGGTTGAAGAAAGGGGGACAGCGGGGGAGGGGGCACTGTCATCTTGGCAAGAATCTTAAGTCCCTCCCCCTCCCACTCGCGCGGTCCCATCAGGCTTGGGGGACAAGAGCAGTGGGAAGGGGCGTCCAATCCCGGGCCCCAGGGGGCGGCCGAGCACATGGGGGAGGTAGCAGCGCGGAGCCATCCGCGCAGTGTCACATGCGCGCGCACACACACAGACAGGCACACACGTGTGCCCGGGTATATATAGTTCTCAGTCCTGAGCCCGCCGCTCTGCAGTGGGCGCCGGCTCCCTGGGCTGGGAGGGGGCTGTCGGGGCGGGTGGGAGGGTGGGGGGCCGGGGTGGGGTGGGGCAGGATGCTGGATGGCCCGCTATTCTCCGAGGGGCCCGACAGCCCCCAGGAGCTCCAGGATGAGGAGTCTGGCAGTTGCCTCTGGGTGCAGAAGTCCAAGCTTTTGGTGATCGAAGTGAAGACTATTTCCTGTCATTATAGTCGCCGCGCCCCTTCTCGACAGCCCATGGACTTCCAGGCCAGCCACTGGGCTCGCGGGCCCCAGAGCCGCACGTGAGTGAAGGAGGGGTGAGGGGAAGAGAGTGGTGGGGCGGGGAGTGGGGTCCGGACCTTCCTGCAGGCGCCAGCGTATATTGCTGGTCCCCCTTCTCTTTCCCACGCCTCCCTCTCCCACCCCTTCCCTAGGGCTGGGGCCTGACTCATCCAGTGTTGTTTGGGGGACAGGGGTGGGCGTGAGAAAGGGCAGGAGGTGAGATGGGGCAGGCGCTGTTAAAGTGTGCATGGAGAGATGGCGAGGAGTCCCGCTTCGACTTCAGTCCTAACATATACGCACGTGCACACGCGCACACACTCACACACGCCCCTTCACATGGCTGCCCCAATTGGTCTCCAGTGCTCCCAGCTCCCCGGACCTCCGTTCCCTTTCCCCACAAACTGCTCACCTGGGTTCCTGCTCATTGTCCCAGGTGTGGGCCGCGCCCGGGATCCCCTGAGCCGCCGCCCCGCCGGCCCTGGGCCTCCAGGGTGCTGCAGGAGGCGACCAACTGGCGGGCGGGGTCCCTGGCCGAGGTCCGAGCCCGGGAGCAAGAGAAAAGGAAAGCGGCGTCGCAGGAGCGGGAGGCCAAGGAGACCGAGCGAAAAAGGCGCAAGGCTGGTGGGGCCCGACGGAGCCCCCCGGGTCGGCCCCGCCTAGAGCCCCGCAACGTCACTCGGGCGGCCCAGCCTGTGAGGCTGCTAGCTCCCTCACTGCTGGAGCGTCCCGGGCCAGTGGGCCGAGCGCCCCGTCCATCCGCGCAGCCGCAGAGCGCCCCAGGGTCGGCGTGGGCGGGGCCCTGGGGAGGTCGGCGGCCCGGGCCCCCAAGCTACGAGGCTCACCTGCTGCTGAGAGGCTCTGCTGGGACCGCCCCGCGACGCCGCTGGGACCGGCCGCCACCCTACGTGGCTCCACCTTCTTACGAAGGCCCTCACAGGACCTTGGGGACTAAGCGAGGCCCCGAGCTCTCCCAGGCGCCCACTTCATCAACTCCAACTCCAACCCCCGCCAGGATAGAGGGAGGGCGCACAAAGAAGAGGTTGGATCCTCGGATCTACCGGGACGTCCTCGGGGCTTGGGGTCTCCGACAGGGGCAGGGTCTCTTGGGGGGATCCCCAGGCTGTGGAGCGGCCAGAGCAAGGCCGGAGCCGGGCAAGGGGGCCGCGGAGAAAAGCCTGGGGCCGGCTGCTGCGGGCCTGAACAGTGGTAGCTACAGCCATTCCCAAACCAAAGCTACAGGGAGTCCAGACACCGTGACAGCTCCCCCAGGGTCTGCAACTGCGCCTCCTAGCCCCCCGCGTCCCGCTCCCAGGGCCAGGCACCATCTCAAGGGCTCGAGGGAAGGGAAAGAAGGAAGAGAACCGACCTGGTTCCCCAAATGCTGGATTTCTTCCCCTAAAAGGCAGCCGCCAAGGCATAGCCAGACACTCCCCAGACCTTGGGCTCCAGGAGGCACGGGATGGAGAGAGCCCCTGGGTAATAGGGAGGGGATAGGACCCGAGTCCTTGAAGGGTTGGAAGGAGACCCGCCGCGCCCACACCTTGCCCCGCAGTTCCCGGGGGCCGGCTCGTGGAGAAGGCGTCTTTGTCATTGACGCCACGTGCGTGGTGATACGATCCCAATATGTTCCGCACCCCCAAATCCAGCAGGTGCAGCTTTTGCCCTCTGGAGTGCCGCGTGTTGTGGGAGATGCCCCCAGCCAACCGAAGGCCGGTAAGGAGGAGGGCGAGGGGGCCGCGGTCTTTTCCTCCCCGTGCCAAAAGCTGCTGTTGAGCAGTCGCCTTTTACACCAACCCGGTGGAGGGCGCGGGTGCGAAGCAGAGGGCGGGAAGCCGGCAGACTCCTCACTGGAGCAGCGCGCCTCCCGTATCTTGGGGCTCCCAGTCGGTGAAGTAAGCCTGCGGGACGCCCGCGCGCAGCCAGGTAGCCCAGAGCACCCAGCCTTAGGCCCAGCAGCTTTGGGAGGCGCGGGCAGAGCGGAGGGCTCAGAAGTGGCGGCGGTCCAGTGGCGCGCTGGCCGGGGCTGGGCGCGGAATCCAGGGCCCTACGCCGGGGCCCTGCGGGAAGCCGTGTCCCGTATCCGCCGCCACACCGCCCCGGACTCAGACACCGACGAAGCTGAGGAGCTCAGCGTCCATAGTAGCTCCTATGAAGGAAGCGACACAGAAGCCCCGGGCGCCTCCTGGCGGAACGAGAGGACCCTGCCGGGAGTTGAGAACAGCCAGCCCCAGGAAGGTGGGAAGACAGCTGAACTGGGTGACAGTATCCGGGAGATTTTAGATGTCATCAGCCATACCGAGGAGGCCCTCTTCCGGGCGAGGGACACCAAGGAGCCCCCACAGGGTAATAGGGAGAGGCAGTAACAGGCCCTTTCTTGTGTTTGTGTGCCCCAAACCATCCATCCTTGGGCTCACTGGTCCCCATTCTTCCCCACAGACTTCCTTTGCTTCTATTTTCCTTGTATCCCTACCCATTCCCATTCCCATACTTAAAATAAAAAGAAAGGAACGGCCCTGACATGGTGGCTCACGCCTGTAACCTCAGTACTTTGGGAGGCAGAGGCAGAGTTTGAGACCAGCCTGGGCAACACAGCAAGACCCCGTCTCTACAAAAACATTTTAAAATTAGTCCTGGTGATGCGTGCCTGTAGTCCTAGCTACTCAGGAGGCCGAGGTGGGAGGATCACTTGAGCCTGGGAGTTTGAGGTTGCTGTGAGCTAGGCTGACAGAGTGAGAACCTCTTAAAAAAAAAAAAAAGACAGGGTGCATATGCCCATTGGTAATTTTGTTTCAGGAGAGATGAGGGTAAGCAGAAGATTCAATGCCTGCCACTCAGAGCACATGAGTGAGATCTTCAGCAAGGGCTGATGCACTAGGCGTACAGCTGAACAGAGAGGTCTAGCCAGGATCAGGAAGGAGGGTAGGGATGGTGGCAGTCATAGGAGGGCAATGGCAGGGAGGGCCTCTGGACACGAGGGAGAAAGCGATGGAGAAACTTTGGACCAGGTGACAGAGTGACTAGGTGACAGACAGGTTCTTGGCAGAAGAGGAATAGGTCCAGAAACAACCAGCAAACCAGGAGGAGGGCTCACCTTGGTGTCACAAGTCTTGGGTTTCAATCCCAACTCTGCCACTGACTTACTGGTTGACCTTAGGGAAGTCACTTTCCCTCTCCAGTCCCCCTGGAATGTAAAATGGTGGAGTTCTAAGGTCTATCCTTCCATCCCTGACGTTTTGGGATCTTTGGAGAGGCCTCTATCTCATCCTCCCCTCAACAAGCCAAGAAGGAGAGTTGGGAATAAGTGAACAGAGTCTGAGGGCCCCTGGCTGGCCTCTTTGTACTCATGCACTCATCCTCAATTTAGGAGACTGTCCAGGGTTTGGAGAAGAGCTGAGTAAGTGAGCAAGGTGCTTTTTTCCTAGTCTCTCCAGTTTTGGTGAGGGATCCCCAAGGCAGGGCAGGATAGTGGCCCCGTCACTTACCCTGGCCTGTGGTGGTCTGAGCTGGGGAGGGAAGGCAGCCAATGAATCAGCCTGGAACCGTCTTTAGGCCTTCCTTTTTTCCTCCTCCCCTGTGTTCCTTAGTGATGTTCCGAGGCATTACCACGATTTCCCTCCCAGTGGTATCGCCCACCTGCAAGAACCCTGGGAATTTCTTTCTCCCATCTCTGCCTCTTCCAGAAACCGGCGAGGAAGGGGGCTGGTCCCAAGAAGCCTGTAGGCGTGGGGTGTGATACTCGCTGTAGCCACTACGGGGCGCGCGCAGGCCGCAGATTTCCCCAGTTGCTACTCCTATTCCGGCACTGCCAGTTAATAGGATCCCCCGAGCGCCAGTCCCCCGCCTTGCCGCCTCCATCCTGCGGAGCCGGGAGCAGGCCTCCGGCCTCCCAGGCCTTTGGAGCGCGCCGAGCCCCTCTTTGTACTCATCCATGCCAACAGGCTTGGGACTCAGACACTGAAGTTTTTTTTCTCTCTGATCCTGGACACCTCTGTCTCTGCCATGTAATAGCCATGTGAACTTGGCCAAATCACTTCACCTCCCTGAGCCTCAGTTTCCTCATCTGTCAAATGGGGGTTTATAAACACCTACCTCGCAGGGTTGTTGTGAGGATTTAATGCGATAATGTATGTAAAGCGCCTTGCACAGTGCCTGGCACACAGTAGGCGCTCAATAAATCTAAGCTTCCCTTTATCCAGCGTTGGCATCTTCTTCCTTTCACTGACCCTTTTCCCACAGTGTCCCTCCCCCGGGGCTCCTCCGCTCCTTCCCGTCGGTGTGAGGGGGAGGAGTACTCCTTTCTCCCGTGGTAACTCCTGGCCCATCCCTGTCTCCCCAGCGGGGACTCTCCCTTCCTTGCCCCCCACCCTACCCGCGCCGGCTCTTCCCCCCGCCCCCCATTCCGGGCAAAGGCTGAGTCAGCCAGGGTAAATTTAGCTGCTGGCTCTGCAGGCGCGGGGGCTTCGCCCAGACTCAGTCTCCGGGTCCTGGCCCGGCCCCCAGGCTCGCCTCTGCTCCCGCTCCCACCGAGTCCCAAGTCCCGCTCAGCGTTCAGGTCCCCAACCCGCTCTCAAACCGCTTACGGTTTTAGTCTCCAATTATCTCGACGTTACTTCCCGCCCGCACCCAGAGAGACTCTGAGCAGGACTCAGGACTCGGAGTGGGGCAGGGCAGCCTGGGGCAACCCGACCCTGAGCTGGCCCAGCCGGCCTTGGGTCAGCGGGGGAGGGTCTTCTCTTTGAGTTTCTGGACCGGAGGGGAGCGCGTCGGTCAGAGCTCCTGGGGAGGGTCCATCCCAGAACCTATCTGGAACCCGCACTGCCAGGTTTCAAGTTAGCGCTTGCCAGAGGAGGTCAAGGAAGTGGGGGTCACCTTGGGCAGAAGTCCAGGATTCCTGAGGTCTATCTTCCTTCCACTGCAATTCCAACTGCCTGCCACCAATTCTAACTACTGAGCATTTACTGAGCACCTGCCAGGAGCAAAGCACTGGACTGGACTCCAAGATAGAGATGAGTAAGGCCTGCTTTGACAGTGGCGTGAAGGCGAAAATACACCAATGATGGTGCGGAGCAGTGAGTGTTAGGTGCTATAAGAAGTCAAACAGGGAGATTGTGTGGGTTCTAGGAGATCAGGGAAGACTCCATGAAGAAGGTGCCATCTGAGATAGAATTTGGTGAAAGGGCATTTCAAGTAGAGGGAACAGCAAAAATAGAGGCAGGGATGGGAGGAAACAGGGTATGTTTAGGACACTACCCAGTGGTGTGGTTTGACTACAGTCGGGAGTACATTTGGGGGATTTGTGGAAGATAAGGCAGGAGTGAAAACTGAGGCAAGATTTGGGTGAACCTGGTTGAGCTGAGGAGCGCGTGTGCCTTGAACCTCCAGACTTAGTAAGAGGATGGACTTCAGGCAAGAGGAAAGTTGAGGAAGGCCAGGGCAGTGGTGATAGCATCTACCTGGGTTTTGCTACAGCCCAAGGGCTCCAGGGCTATGGGGCCGATAGAGGAGATGAGCTGCGTGGTAGAGGGACTGGCTCTGTGGGGGGTGGGCTCTACCATGCTGCCCGAGCCCCTTTGAGGAAGAACAAAGTTTCTAAGAGCTCACCCACACTGCTGCCATTCTCAGACAACTGGGGTAATGCCGTGTTTAGAATATGGACTCTGAGGCCTGGCAGCCTATGTTTAAATCTTGCCTCTACCTCATACTAGCTTTGTGACCTTGGGCAAGTTACTCAAACTCTCTGTGCCTCAGCATCCTTATAAAAGGGGATTATTAAAAGTGCTTTTCAGATGGGTACAGTGATTCACACCTGTAATCCTAGCACTCTGGGAGCCCAAGGCAGAAAGATCACTTGAGGTCAGGAGTTCGAAACCAACCTGAGCAAGAGTGAGACCCTGTCTCTACAAAAAATAGAAAAATTAGCCAGGTGTGGTGATGCATGCCCTTGGTCCCAGCTACTCAGGAGGCTGAGGCAGAAGGATCTCTTGAGCCCAGGAATTTGAGGTTGTGGTGAGTTATGATGATGCCACTGCACTCTAGCCCCAGCCAACAGAGCAAGACTCTGTCTCAGAGGGAAAAAAAAGTACTTCTCTCTTAGGGTTGTTGGGAGTATTAAATAATTCGATTTGTAGAGCACTTAAAAACAATGCCTGCCTGGTACATAGTAAGTGATAGCACTGATTGTGATTATGATTATTGTTGTTATTATTTCTCTCTAGGGCTATTTCATTAGTGTTGGGGTCTGAGAATAGGAGGATGGGAAAGAAAATCAGAAGTAGGGGAGGAAGAGAAACAGGCAGCAGAGGCCAGGTTAAGAGGGGACAGGAGCCCCGTGGTGGTTACAAACTGTCCCTTGAATGGGTGAATGGTATACTGGAAACACTTGGGCAGTTAGGGTGTCAATGTAACATACTCCTTCCCCCAGAACTTCCTCTATCTTTGCCTACGGATAGAGTCAGCACCAGCTGCCAAAGTTCTGGGGAGACAGGGAGAGAGAAGAAGGGGAGGAGAGACTGACTACAGGTCTGAGGGCCAGCCCCTGGTGAGCCCTATCTCTGACTGGCCCTGCAGGGCCCGTGGGTGGGAGGCTGGAGGCTCCCTGCTGCGAAAATGACTTCTAAATCTGGCTGTGTCTGCCAGCCAGCCAGCCTTGAGACGGAGGCCACAACCACCCCCCCACCTTGGGACAGCCTCACTGGTCAGGAGTAGGGACAGCAGACACAGGAGGATGTGGTCAGTTTGGGGCAGCAGACCTCAGGTTAGCACAGGATCCTTCTACCTCCACAGCAGCCAGGCTCTTCCCAGGGAAGCCCTGTCCTGCCCCACCTGGGGCCCAGTTAACATGGCTTTAGAGGATCCAAGAACTCTCTCTCTCTCTCTCTTTAAGACACTCAGGAGAGCCTGGGACTTCCCTAGGTCAGCCATAAATGGGTAAAGGAAGCCCAGAGCCAGGCCATAACTCTGGGACCTCAGAGGGTCAGGAGTGTGAGTGTGTGTGTGTGTGTGTGTGTGTGTGTGAAGGAGAGGACCATGAGAGGTGGCCAAGCATGAGGACATAGGAAGTGTGCAAAGTGTATCTGTGGCGAAAAGGGTCAGCATTCACTCAGTTTTTCATTTGTTCACTTACCCATTAAACATGTATGCTAGGCCCTAGGGACACAGAAGAGACTGAGGTATGCTTTCTACCTTCAGGAAGCTCACAAGCTATGGTGTGTATGATATAGGAGAAGGGATATGGAAGATGAAACCCACAGAGTCATGACAGTGCAGGCAGACGGAATAATATACATTAATGAAGGCATTCCTGAGGGACCAGGGAATATGAGGGAAGGAGCATCTCTGGGAGAGGGACTATATCCAGGCCTCTGGGAAACCAGTAGCTGAGCATGCATATGTTAGTGAAGGAAGGTTCAGCCTGGTTGCTGTCCCTACCTCTTCATGTCCTGGCATGGGGTGACCTCCCTCCCTTGAAGCCCCTGCCACTACATAGCTTTTTGTGAGTCCTTCTGTGGAAGGATGTT